TGGCGGGGCGCAAATTTTTTTTCCCAGTTCCGGACCACAGCCAATCAGCGCACTTCAATCACTCGACTTCCTCGAAGCAACAATGTAAAATGAATACCCCTAACCCTAACCATAACCCTAACCCTAACCCTAACATGTAACCGAACACTAACACTAAACATCCAACCGTATATATAAGAACCATTTATTACAAAACACTATTTATGGTGGGTCCGGAACTCGAGTGGGGAAAAAAATTTCGCTGGCGGGACATCTGCGGCCTCGTCTGCGGCCCGTAGAGTCGGTCCACTTCACGCCTGCCTATTGGCTCTTAAGCCACTTCACTTGCTACTGGGGCAGACCCAGTTCTATGTCCAGTCTCTAGTTCCAGTCCGGGTTTGTCTGGAAGTACTATAAGTGAGCGAAATGCAATTAGAAATATAACTACAGTATATTACTATACTATAGCACGCACGTACGCACTTATATATATATATAAGTACGTGCGTGCGTGCGTGCGTGCGTGCGTGCGTGCGTGCGTGCGTGCGTGCGTGCGGGTCAGCCTATGTGTGTGTGAATGTGTATGTACGTCTCTGTGTATTGCGATGATTACTGTGTATGCATAATACCAAGAGCCCATTATCCCGGGGTTAATGGGCTCTTGATAATACACTACATCAGATCGCCAAACATATAGTCAAAAGACAGCCGATAAGATAATGGCCAAAGTAAATAGTTTAACTCTACTGTAGTGTCAACTCAAGGTCTGCCCAACACGTCCAACACGCCCCCCTCTCTCTCTCTCTTTCTCTCTCTCTTATTCTCTCTCATTCTTCCTCTTATTATCTACAACCCCCTCTCCCCTCTGTCCTGTTATTCTATTCAAACCCCTTCTTTTTTACGCTCTGGCTCCCCTTATTCACTCTCTCTCACGCGCTGTCGCTTTCTCACTATCCTTCGCCACGCGCGTTCTCTCTCCATAGCCCTCTTTCTCTCAATCTTCCTTCACGCGCTCTCGCGCGCGCTCTCTCTCTTTCTCTGTCTGTCTGTCTGTCTGTCTATCTATCTATCTATCTATCTATCTATCTATCTATCTATCTA